CCCGTGCCACCCACGGCAGCGTAATTGGCTCATTATGTCGGCTGTTGTCAGTCGACAGTCACGGCAGCCAGCCGGGGCTCAGCCGGCCCAAATTATGCCAATCAAACCGCCGCCAGTCGCCCAGCGGCCACCCCTTTTTATTCATGCCGGCTAATTTTCATTGTTCGAGGGCGCTGTGCGGTGCGTGTGCCGTACCGGCGTTTGCATGCAATTTGGGCAGAATTAGCCTGCCATACTTTCATCGAGCGGTCTATTGTAGTCATCATTAAGGCAGAATAACGTCAAAGCTAGAGGGATCACAGGACCGGGAGGGACTGACAGTGGGGTGAACACCCAACAACCAGCCGGTGAGTGAGTAATTCGTCTAGTTACAAAACAACGTCATGCAACTGATGTTTTTTTCGGTGCATCGTTCTCATGCGGTAAGTGAACTCTCAGTTATCTTTCAAGACGGAAAAGCGTGACTAAAAATGATGTGGGATGCATGCGTTGGAGCAGCTTAAAAGCTCCTTCAACATTGAAAGGTGAAAACGCCCTCCACCCTGCTGTAGGTTTTGCCAAACTACTTTAATGCCAATTCATTCTGAGTCACTGGAAACGTTAGCGTTTAAATGCGCATTGAAGTACGGCCGTAATCACTCGAGCTCTCCGTACGATCCTGAGCGCCCACATGCGCTCGTACATTGCGCAGATAATTCCCAACAGCCGGTAAGCGCCGTGGGCTGAAAATTACGATATAACCTGTGTGACATTTACTGCCCTTTCACATGTCAGGAAACCACTTAAGAGGGTAACTTGCATGATACCAACGTTTTTTATCACATGCTTACGCTCGGCAGCGTCGTTACTTACCGCAGGGCGCCCCTGGCCCGCCCTGTTCGAACTCTCGCCCTGGCTTGTCCACTCCCTCGCCCTGACTCGTTCTGTCTCAACCCACTCCCTCTCTCCCTGTATCCCAACACTGGGCACCCCGCTCATCCCATCCTATCCAGCTCACAGTAAAACAGACGCTGAACGGCCGGGGCGGGGAAAACTGACACGGCACGCCGCCGGCCCCGCTGTCGGCCCATTCGGAACGCTTCCTCTCGGCGGCGCTCCTGTCATTTCCTGTCGCCTTTCAGCGGCGCTGTCTCAGCCATTCTGTGGGGCTGCCCGGCCCGCCGGCGGCCTATTGTTGCCGGCAGGCAGATACGATCTGCGCCCCCCGGCGGCAGACGCGCGTCCCAACAGACGCAAAGCTGCTGCCGCGGCGCCGGAGCTGCAGCTGCGGCCGCTCGTGCTGGGAGATAGATGGGGCCGATCGGTGTGTTCCAGATGCGTTTGTATGGACAGATCGGACGCACTGCAGAATAAGATTCGCAGCATCCACCCCGCTTTGAATGTTTTTTCTTATGTGCACAAAGTAAACTTCAACGCCACTGGCCATAGACCACTATATATCTGGACTGTGCACGGATTTTGCCGACTGCTATTAGGGCCCTGCTGGGAAATTCGACGTAGCACGCGGAATTGTGTATTGACGCTCTAGTAAGCCCATTTAAATGAAAGTAACTTCTTAAATGTGATGTATATTTTAATAAATGTATAATTTATAGCATGATTTTTAACACGATAAATAAATAAAAGCACTTATAGACAGGTATATCACACTGTATTAAGTTCAAAGCATCAATAGACAGGAACAATCCGTGATCGGTCGTTTTTGACAAGAGACAGTCTGATGACATATTGGACACACTGCAGATTAATTTGCCTGTCTAAATCAGACACGCACCCGGCTCAATGCTTTGAAAGCCCACACGATCTGCGCCACGGAATTACGAAGATTCCTATGGGTAAATAACAAAGCTGCCGGTGCTGCGTTTTTAGCGAGACCGTCCGAGGTGACCTGCTGGGCCACAACTGTTCCCTGCTTCCACTGAGGCCGATTTCATGCTCAGCATAGGGACAGACGGGTTCTGTCATCTGTCCCTCTGGAGAGAAGGGGACTTTTGAACACCGTTGTCAGCGGGTGATGGCGATCGAGATTCGAGATTTAGACGGAGTCACGAGATCTCGGTTCACTGGACACTGCAGCAGAGCTTCGCACTTAGGAATGCACTTTCTTATAGTTCTTGTGCTACATTTGCCTTTAGTTACTATTCGAATTGTAAATCCACATCTGAAATTCTCAGCCATGTAGGTATCTTACACAATACACATCGACGAATAGGATCGTAGTTATTGATTGCATAGACAAACTGATCCCAGGAATGTTGCATTGTGTTTACGTCCTGCGGCTCAACCTTTCTCATTTTCATGAAGCTTTCTTATTTCATGAAGCTCTGTTCGCGCATCGCTGGTGTTGAGTGACGGTACACTGTCCATATTGACTCCATGAATTGCAATGTTTGTTTTTCGCTCAACTATACACATCAATGTTTTGAAGGAATGCAGGTCGTAGCGTTGTAACTTGAGGTGCTTCTCGACAGTGTGACTCCCTCAGCGAGCAATGTGAAGAAAGTTATCGTTTTCCTTTACAATGGTAGTCGCGCTGTCTTGAAACACACGTTTGAAGCTATACGTGTGCTGTGCCGAAGAGAGAGCGACTCGGCAGCTGTTACCAGAGCAGGACCCATTGCTTGCATGCAGGAGCGGAACACAGATTGCTGATGTGGGCACGCCAGCTCTCCGCAAGCCATAACATATGTGACCATCACTTGACCAAATTGCAAGACTTTAGCTAGTTTTGGGCTTCACTTGTGACTGATATTATAGGAGCCGCTAGTCTGGAAACGGATCCGCCACCTCTCCTTACAGTTATCTTCTGCTCAATTTTTCGGTCTCGGCCAGCGTCACAGCATGTAATAAAACTCACAGGGAGCCCAGTGGTCAGAATTCCAAGACATTTTCAGCTTTAGGGCATATAGAAATTGACTTCATATTGATGCCTTAGCCAGGAACCGGAAAACTGACATTGTTGCATGCACTGTCTTGGCTCTTTGAATATGCTCACTCCCTGTTCTGTTCATAGGATATTCTGAAGTGATTATCACTAGCGGCACATTTTACTGTATTTCAGTGGCATGTATGCATTAAAAGGTTTCATTTTATTTAAAGACAAAAGAGAACTATCCCGCATGTCAATGATAAACAACAAACAACAATAATCTTGCAAAAATATTCGCTACATGTCTGTGAAAATTTGCTAATTCTCGTGAAAATTAGCTGGGAACCATCATCCACACCATGTTAAATCATGGAAGAAATGGGCAGAAAATGCCCTTCTTTTTTCGATGATTGCGCTAATATTATATATTTTTTGCTCAATGTAAGATATAACTCAGATTACAAATTGACTAGTGGTGATGTTTCCCAAAGCACATCATCATATGGCGAATAAGTTGGCTGTGACGACCTTCGAAAGTTAGGGCCCTAATGGCAGGGCCCTAATTTCCGTGCACAGTCCAGATATATAGTGGTCTATGCACTGGCATATGCAGAACATCGATACTTTGTGTTTAGTCACTTGCATTCGTACCATATGACACAATAACGTTTTGATTTGATCTTTTCCATGGAGGGTACCCGACGTCACTCCCACTTGGCCCGTAGAGTAAGAAGCGTCCTTGAAATCCACTTTCTTCCATGCCCTATTTTTCTGCTCCAGGCTGAATCCAACAACGGTTCCAACTGATATGTAATGGCTGCCCCATTCCCCTGGGTCACACCGAGTGACCTCTGGCGTGCGGGTCAGGCCTGCCGTGTGCGCTGTGTGTCGGGCTCGCGTGCGGTGACCTACTCGCAGCTCCCCAAACCTGCCCTTCCCTCAGCATTGTGTGCCGACGGCGCTGGGAAAACCACTTACCGGAGACAAAACGAAGGATGGGCGCGGAGATTTTGCAAGGATGGAACTACCCGGTGCAACAGATTTAATCAATCGTGTCAAGTCTGCTGCTTTTTGTCTTGATGTTGCGTAAAGATTGAACAACTTGTGTTAAAAAAAAAAAATCAGTTACACTTGGCTCATGTTACCTAAAAGATGTTGATATATCATGACCACACTGGACCCGGTATATCCAAATAGCCTCATTGATCGCCACTTAAATCAAATCAACCCCTAGTAGCGCACAATCTCAAATGTTTGCGATGCCCGCATTGCTAGCCCGATTCAAGACCGTGCAATGTGTATGCTCGCCAAAAGGCAGCCCGGGCGGGCGGTGAAGCACCCTCATCTCACGGCTGGGCTGTCGTTCTTTCATGCCGGCTCGGGTGGCTGAGTTGCTAAGATTCCTCAGCAATACAAACCCCCGCTGTTTGTTCTCACTAACTCTGATACGTGCCGCATTTAGAGCTCCCAGTTACAGTGATTGTGGCGGGCGAGACTAGCACGATAACACCGACTCGCATTGCAGAGGTTAACAAAGTTCCTCATATACAGAGAAGCTTATCGCCCCAGGACATTAATCTTCAAGTGAACTGGCGACCAACTCCTTCCCCATCCACATCACCATTTACTCACCACTTCTCCCACCCGCCTTCCTCCAGCCAACGGCCAAACGCGCCGAATCTCGCCGTCTGATTAATTAAAATTCAGTCCCGTTCTTCACGCTCGTAATTTCCTATTCTCGCACAATGCACAGGCTGCGTCGGCTGTCAAATAAATATCCCAGAGAAGGAAATAAATACAGCTGCTTTTTGCCGGCTTTGTTACGTTGTTTATTGGCTTGGCGACTCAGAAGGCTTCGTCAGACGGTAAATTCCTAAAAAAAGAAACTCCAGCATCAGTATCGCTGCGCTACTCTAACTCACCAGGATCCAGCTAGTGAATGTATCGTGATGTGATAATTTTCGTTCAATTATCATATTTTTACTTTTTATAAATGACTTGGGAAACATTACTCACGCTGGAGAGAAATAACATTGACGCAACATGCCAGACGATAGATGCATGCTTTGCCTGTGAGACAATTAACTATCACCTCAATGCAATCATTGGCGTGTGTTTTCGTCACTGGCAGGTGCTGGTGTCGTCCATGCGCTCAGCCCGACAGTACGCCGAGCTACCCGTCGACCCCGGGTCACCGGTCCTGGCCGACATGCAGGTGGACCTGCCCGGAGAGCACGTCTACGTTCCCACAACACAAAAGGTGAGTATGTGACAAACGACTTTCTTTGGTTTTGTTCCATCCTCAACTCGACATGGCCTGCACTTGATTGTCGTCGTTTGTGTTTTACGTGAAAATTTGCCAAAACTCCGGGGTCCTCGCTCTAATTTTATGGTTTTAATTAACTACGCTAAGCTTCTTTTCCATGTAGCGTCGCCTAGTCTAATAAGCGATTTCGCCAGTCATCGGGCAGATTACGGAGTGCCACTTATGGGATCGTCTGCGTCTCGACCAACGCGGTTCTGTCTCAGATTCCCCACATTCGAGTCTGCTGAGCCACAAGCGCCCCGAGTGGCCTAGCCACGTTCGTGTGAGTTTTAACGAGGCCTGGAGAGGATCACGAGCGGTGGGCGCTGTCCGACGGAATCTCGAGCGGCGCCGGAATCCCTCGCCAGGTGCGGATTCCTGGAGTCCGGGGAGCCGCGGTGGCGAGCTGCGCCTTCCATAGGCGGCTGTTTGGGACGGCGGAATCCGTACTGCGAGGGACAGTTGCGTAAGTGGCCCGTGCCGTACGCTGCGTCGAATTCCGAGGGGATGAGGAAACGTGACCTGTTTGTTCATCAGCTCCCGCGGTTCGGGGTGACAACTTTGTAACGAAATCAGCAGAGAATCAGATTTGTATGACCAATAACTGTCTGCATCCGACCTAACAATTAGCGTAGAGTTTTCCCATGTCATAGGTATGAAATATATTTCATTTTATTATTCCCCTTTGTTTGATGTATTAGTGAAGAAATATTGACTTGCTGTAGATGTGTGTAAAAGGTGCCTTGCTACGTACTTATGTACAAATTATATATTTATAAAAAAAATTAAAACGTTGAAACGATGACTAGATTTTAAACAGGGGTACTTTCAACAGATTATTTCTTCAAAAGACTTTGTTTGGGAAGCTAGCCTGAAGCACATTGATAAATGTTGCGCTACCCCACAGGGGAATGGTTTATTAGTACTCTACAAGAGCAGTTGACATGGGTCGATCACTTGAAGAGCAAAGATCAGTTCTCATGCAATCGGCTCAGCTCACTATGCATGATCAAGTCTCCACTTCTTCAGCCACTCGCTGTAAATGTGTATTTCAATCATCTCACCTGCGTCTTTTATGGACGTTCAATTGATTGGACGGACCAAACGACGTCATTCCGTCGAGTCAAAGAGCGGAACGGTTCGGAGCACTGAACGAATTCCACACCGAGGTCACACTGTGCGCTGCGCCCACGAGCTTCGGTCAACGAACTTAAAGAGTTTGTGACAAATGACTTTACTTCTGATCCTAACGTAAGTATTGTTGAACCCATTCATCCGATGAAAGTAAAATTACTGAAAGCGATAAGCTGCGAAATACTCGATTGTATTAAAACTCTCGCATCTAGTCACACCACTCAATTTTCCCCCGAAGCTCCTATAGCGGTCTGTCTCTGACTCACAGGGCTCAGATCCCCACCAGACAGCGCGGCGGCGCGTCCACTGTCGCGTCTGGCGGTATTCAGATGTGTTGCTACGCCCGCTGACGCCCCAACAGAGCTGTTGGTGTTGGCCCTCTCCGCCGTCTGGTTGTCGTCGGTCTCGCTATCGACTAGACTGGAGCTACTGAGAGGCAGACGGCGAGACGGCGGACGTGACGTCAAGTAGTTGGCGGGGTGACGTCATCAGATTAATGGAGGTGACGTCACACGTCTACGGAATACTGGAAATGGAACACATGATTACGGTTTCATGCTGATTGAACTGACATGAAATCGCTGATAAAGGATGATTTTCTCCTAAACGGTAGCGTAGGAAGACGAAAAATTGGTTATTTTCCTTAGAAGGAGAAAGGAGTGTTGGACAGATGTTCGACCGACAAAAAAGTTCGTCCATATTTACCCACTTGCAACGCCACGTGTCATTGCTCACTCGATACCATGAGTCGATGCTTAACTGTCGAGTCAGAGACCGTGCCCCTGTCAAGTGCGTGTCTCTCCCCTCGTCTCCCCTCCAGGCAGGGGTCACCACAGGTCATCTCACTGACACGCCCCACCCGCCATTTCTGACAGCTCCGACACCCTCGGAACACAGCCCTGTCCATCCATCACGTGACACAGGGGAGAGGTCACGTGCCGCGGGCGACCACGTGACACTCAGGCGCACTCTGTAACCGGGCGACAAATGGGAGGTGTCAAAAGACACGCTGCCATGTCATGTGTGGTGATGACAAAAACGCGCCGCCTGCCTGCGGGCCCAGTCGTCAGCGCAGGGGGAACAGGCCGAGTGAGATGAGACAGAGGGAGATGTTCGCTGTCCCTGCCTGCCGGCTAAGAAACTTGACGCCCTGTGTTTCTGTCACGTGATGGAGATGTGAACGGGTGGGGTGGCTGATGCCAAACGACGGCTCTCAAAAGCTGGGCTCTTGTTGCGCTCTGGGGGAATTCAGAAACTAACGGCAAAATGGCATCCATTACCGACCCGTTCATAATTCATTCGCATGTATTTAGCCATGCCATAAGCATATTTGCCGTTGCTTGTCTGATATCTCATCAATGGAAATAGATGAGCATTTATCGATAGATGCCCCCTTTCCCAATGCATCCCCAACTTCAATGTGTTTCTAATATCCCCGTGACCAACTCATCAGTCTGTAGTCCAGCTCCGCCGGCACTCACAAATCCGCCTCGCGCAATTCCCACGGCCGATCAGGCGTGAAACAGCATCGTCGTCGTCGACGCTCTGTACGTCCGTCGAAGTCGACGGAGCGGTCCGATCAGCCGATTGGCGCGGGGATCTGGCGGATCAGAGCGGCGCGGCGCTCTGATCTGTCCGACAGTGCTCGCCCATCAGCTCAGCCTGAGGGGAGCTGGTCGCTCAGATCTGCCGTCTGCGGTCGGTCGTGGCCACAACACACGGGCGGTGACAGCCGCCACGCCAGCAGCCGACCGCGAGATGCGCAGGCTAGGAGATAAATCCAATGGTCGCTCCGGATGTTGGCAAAGGTCCCGGGAAAGCTGCTCAGTCTGATATATGTAGAAGCGGTATGGCTCGTTTCAGCCCCAGGCATGACTGCCGAGACTCCCTCCTTCCAGATGCGCGAACGGTGCACAGATTTTAGCCGAGTGAGCCCGTTCCAGACGTCTTGAACAATGTTGATCTCTTGTGCCCGCCAGGTTACGCTGCTGAGACTCCAGACGTGCGAGCAGTACACCAACTGCACCGAGTGTCTTCAGACCAAAGACCCTTACTGCGGCTGGTGCTCGCTCGAGAAAAGGTAAGCTGATTGCTCAGATCGTGAGAAAAGGTGAGCTGATTGTTAAGATCGTGTTTATTTTTATCCGAAGCTGCACCCTAAAGCTTTCAAAGGCACCGGGCCATAGTCTGTTGTTAGCAGACAAGGCGACCGTAAGTAGTTGGCCTTCGCCCTGGACCCCTATTCAAGCCCGCTAGCCTTTCTGTCATTTCTCGCCGCGTTGACCTCATACTGCACCGTGAAGAAAGGCCTCCTTCCTGTCGCGCCGCGACCAAACAGCCGCCTTATTTTACCACTCAACAAGTGAAACCGTATCGGATGTCATTGTGCGCGGAAGAAAGCAGGCTGGCCAGGTCATCACGACTGGCCGGCCCTGTGAAGTCACTTTGACGCTGCAGGTCGGCGTTTGTGTGAACGCTCTGGCGACCTATGAAGGCACTCTACTGGTCTGAGTGGTTCTGCGCTCTCCTCTGTCTGAATGGTATTGTCCGGCCAGGTGCTACCCATTCGGGCAGACGGTCTCCGCGGGTCCACTCGGCGCCGAGAGGAGCGCTAACGATATTCGGCCGACCAGCCGACGGGTCAAAGGGTTATCGATCGTAATCACCCGCCGCCAACTCCCCGGGCTCTGGGGTGATTAGAGTCCAATCAAAACGCTCCCAGAGAGCAGCGGTTACGGACAAAGACGCCGGAAGGGAAGTAATGGAGTCGCTTCGCGCGGTGCCGTACATTTCTCTCCGCGGCCGAACTCCCCACGGAACAGTTCAGCACTGCGACCGGTGCAATCGAGATGACGCGTGTCCAGACACGGAGAAGTCAGGGCTGTTCATTTGTTGAATCCCGCTGGACCCGTAGCTGTGCCACCAGGTGTGGATTGATGTAAATTGCCTCTCCTGATAGCCTGTTACCCATATGACTCGTGACTTCAGATACGGATGATTCTAGAGTTGGAATTGATGTTGGCTATAGGATGCAATGTTTATTTTGCTCATTTGTGTTATTTCATCTTGAAACTTGATAGAAAAGAACAGAAAGTCGGGCCTACCATTTCACGAGCACGGTTGATCTGGAATCTCGTTTACGAAATATACGGCGCCCTCTGCCAACAATAAAAGCTCAGTGATCTGTAAAAACTCAGGCCCCATGTGCGAGATCAGTTGTGTTCAGCGGTCTCATGCAAAGCCCAGGAAGCTCCTACCTGTGTCCGTCCGGCTGACCCCACCTTTCCAGTGTCACCGGCGCGCCCGGGCTCCCCCGGCACTCTAATCTTGCGCCGAGACCAGCGCCGTCCGTGGCGCCGGTCCGTCTGTCTCGACGGCGAGTAATTAATTGTTAATTACACCCCTGCCTGGCGTCACTCGCCGCCGCTCTGATCCGACCGGGGGGACCGAGGCGTACCGACCGTTTTTGTCGACCGATGTGCCACGGTGGTCCGACAGGCTGGTCGGGGCGGGTGAAGTACCCGTATGGTATAGTTGAATGTTTTGGCTGAGTTTGTTGAGCTAGTGAGATCGAACAGCTCATTGTCTTGGATGCTGGGATTGCCTTTGTCTGGCAAGTGTTAATTTTGTTGGAGTTTTGTCGTTATTTGTTCACTTTATTTATGTTGACACTGTTATCGACATTGAAGTTAAGAGACTGTCAAATGCAGGGTCCGTACTTTAGTGTTTTCTGAAGTAACGCTTTGGGTTGGCTTGTTCAGCGATAAGTTAATATTTTCCCTACATTTATTGAACCCCTTGGTTCCCGGCCCAGCCGAGCCTAAAATAATAATCCGCCTCAGAGCTCGTCATGTGGTAAATGACCCATGTTTATAGCAGAAGCGTGTAATCCTTTGATAGCAATCATAGGTGGACATCCGGAGGATTTGAAACGGCGTAGGATCCCCACCCTCCAACACTTTCCGCCCCAACCCGTCCTGTACCCACCGTCCTGTTGACGTCACGCCCCGACTTTACAAATGACGTCACGCCGGCTGGCCCGGTCAATTGATGGCCGATCGCCGATGTGGAACCGTGGAAGGCTTTTTAGATCTCGCCGCCGATACGGTGGCAGGACGAGACCTTGTTTCCGATGGGGCGATCTAGGTGTGGACGGAACAGAAGATTTGGATTACTGGACCGTAGCGCGGAACTTTCAGGCAAATATGTACATTTGGTTAGTTTGTTTGCAAAAACTCCAACAGCAACTGGGTAAAGGCAGCTATAAAACATGCATTCTGACGAAGGAGGGATGATGGTGCTGTTTTTTTTTTGTGTCTGCAGGTGCACGGTGCGTTCCGAGTGCGGAAAGGCCGACTCGAGCTCGCCGCGGTGGCTCTCCATTGACGCCGGCCAGCAGTGTATTGACATGGAGAGGATCGAGCCGCAGCACATCGCCATCGACCAACAGGCCCAGGTCAGTTCAGTACTGGATTAGTCGCGAGAGTCAGGTCAGTAAAACTGGGTCAAAGGGGAGGTCAGATTCAGATGTCAATCAGAAGCCCGTCAAGAAGACAACCACAGTCAACTAAGGCATATCGCGCATAGCAGCTGACGCCTTGCAACGATAAGTAAGACCTAAATCAATCTCAAAGAGACGTCTCTCATCAGGTAACGGAAAAGCTTTGTCCGCAACCGCAGACACGCTTTCGAATTCTGCGTTTGACGTTGACAAAAGCGGCGATGTCACCATCAATCGGCCGTCGTCGCGGTCAGCTCTCGGACTGTCAGTCACTCGGAAAATCCGCCGAGCTGCCCCTCCAGTAGGAGACAGGACCGTCTGCAATAAAACATCCGTATCTGCCGGAATCGAGGGAGTATCGAGGCGGACGTCCGTGCCCATCGCTCGTGCAAAGAGGAACGGCCCGACTGATTGACAGCACGCTAACTGGGATGTCCACGTTATTTGGTCGGCGCCGAGTGCGCGGCGGCGGACGTCGAGGAGTTGGAGACAGGCGTGAAAGATATGGAGTCGAACGTGGAAGATTGTGTGACAGACGTGGAAGGTCTCGTAGAGGATATGGAATATTTGAAGACGCGTTGAAGATGTGGAGACACAGACGTCGCAGGGAGGGCGACGGGCTTATGAAGATAGAGGGATTTAAAAGGTTTGGAGATAAACCTGGCTTAAATAGAGGTTAAAATGATAACAAAGTCAGTCCCACGCACAAGGGGGAAAAGCTCAAATTATTGAGTGCTCAAAATATTGAGCGTGTGACGTCAGAGGCTCCCATAGGCGTAATGTTGAGGGCTCAAAAAATTGAGCCGTTTCAGGAACACGTTTTGCAAAAGCAACTCGCAACACCTAGGGAGAAATGGCAACACCCTAGGAGAATCACTAATGATGCAAAACAGATTAGGCTTTCATATTTTTCACTGCTCAAGCTTCAATGATTGGGGGAACACCAATTTATAGGTCGAAATCTTACGGCATACCAGAATGACTTAAAAACAGGCCAATATTTATGTCGAAATAAAAGTTATTTTTTGTCCATTCACGTTTTTTACTAGGGTTCTGTTGGAAAGAGCATTTTTCATACTACCCAAAATGATTGCGACTCAATTTCACATTACTCATATCGGAGAATATTTTTCATTTGGCGGCGCCGTTCGTTTATTTCGTCGCGACGTCTCCGGTCGCGTGGTTGTCGTCGTCCTCGTGTTGAAGGTAAGTTTTTATCGTTTTAGTTATATTTAGATGTTAAAAGGTACACTGAAAAGTTTGAATATGCTGTGATTTTAAATTTGGAAACACGTAAACGTCAATCAATTCACGTTTTCCTCGATTTTGATTTGCGTGCAGATAAGTAACTGTCGACGAAAGTGGCGCCATCCGATATGATGTTTTGAAGGAAGGAGACACAACAACATATTTACGTGGAAATTTTTGTTTTTTAGTGGTCTAAGTGCTTCAAAGAGGCTGTGAATGTTTTCTTCACACAATTTTTCATTAGGTATGATGAGGTAAAAGGTAGTTTCAGTCTTAACTTTCATATAATTGACATTAAAACATATGATAGTCCACTCCTGGGGCATTCCACGATAGATCGTACCACTTTTTTCCAATTTGACACCCTCATCTCTCGGAATTTGACGAGAATTGGTCTCAGGGGTAATCAGGGGCTCTGAATCCACCTGTAACAATTTCAGGCTTATCAGATAAGTATTTTTTGAGTTATGGTGTATAACATTTTTTGGATCTTGCTTTGCAGTGCTAAGTTTGGCGGGCTGTAACTCTAAGACGGATTATTTAAATGCCAAATTTTATATAACATTGAATTTGCAATGAAACAGAGATTAATATGTATTTTTGAAATTTCGAAAAATACGCTTTTTTTGATACATGACATATCGAGTTTTCTTTCATTTGTATTTTTTGGACTTTGGGACCAAATTTTTTTAAATTTTTATTTCTTTGAAAAAATATTTGGCTCATTGTTAAGAAGTATCCAAAAAATTAGGAAGGTGTTCTTTCTATAAATGTATTTATTTTACGTCACGATAACGGTTTCGAATAGTGATTTCGGGAGGGGAGCTTATAAATGGGGTGGTAAAGCTGCCTAGTGACATCACGGGTTACTGAAATTTCAATTGAAGTCTGAGTCATCTGAAAAAAGTGAAAAGAGGGTTCATCCAACCCTCTTTCCTATAAGCGCGAGGGTGAAAAACAGGGTATATAGGTGAAAAAGGCTGTGTGGTTCTGACATTGTTTTGGACGCCAATGACCATAGCTGTCCGAGATGAAAGTTACAGGACGCATACATGGTGTCCTCCAGAGGTCTCACAACTTGTATATCTGGGAATTTTTTAAGGTTACATGAGGTCAGGTCGGTCACGTGACATCACTGTTATAAGCCAATGGGGAAATATAAAAACTGTTATTTTGGCGCCGAGAATGATCTAAAACTATCTCACATACATATTATCGTGATTTCATGCACTCCTTATGCTTCACTTTTGCATTGTTAACCTTGCGTGACGTCATTTATGACGTCACTAGGGTCGTACGAGTTTTTCGTCAATAACTCCCGATCAAATGCAGCTACAGAGTCGGGAAAGCCACCAATGGACTCGGGAAGACCTTCCGAATCGAATGATATGCCATATGATACCCTTTGCCCAGCTTCGTGACCTGAGGGGCTCTGACCTGACCTTGACCCGAGGTCAACTACTTAAGTTGACCTCACCCTAGCAAAAAGTATATCATTCGATGCACCAGAGCTAGGCGAACACAATGATGCCAAAATCGCGGCTCTGCGGCCATTTTTTGCAAAGTTATTTACTTAAAACCGAATCCGTAACTTCAGTCACTTGACCTGACCTCAGACGCTACCGGTTAACCTGAGACCTTAAAATCGGGTACCAATCGCTGCGACTTGTAACGGCACACACGCTCGTTTTTTCCGCGAGGCTCTAGCTCTATTAGAAGCGAAACGGCGTGCTGGGGTCGTATCAATCCCTCCGAAACCCATTTTGCTTGCGGGAAAATGAGGAACTTATAGAAAAAACACCTTTCTAATTTTTTGCATGTCGATTTGCAATGACATGAAGTTTATTTTGAAAAAATAAAAATGTGAAAAATTTTGGTCCCAAAAGTCATTAGAGGTAAATGAAAAAAAAATAAGGTTTTTGCTCACAAATGAAATTTTTTCTTTGGAATTTTTAAATAGTAATATTAATTTTTGATCCATCGCAAGCTTAGTGTTGTTTACTGTTTGTTGGTTGCTTAACCCGTTCTTGAGTTATAGGCCATTAAAATCACCGTTACGAACCGAAGTTAAAAAAATGTAATGCAATATAACTCAAAAAGTTTTGCTCTGAGAAGTCTGATATTTTGCCAGGCGTCTTTGGGGCCTATGATTACCCCTAGGACCGATTTTCATTAAAATCTGAGAGATGAGGGTGACGGGCCTGGTACGATCTATCGTGGAATGCCCCTCCTATCAGTGATTGAGTACCTTGATATTTGGCATTTCTTATTAATTTGAATGTATTCTCTATCCATATGTCCTGATAGTAAGTGACAATACTCTGCCAATATGTTTCCATAGTTTTCACATTCATTTTCCAGTCCTTTACATAACATCACAATTTATAATCAACAAAACTCAACTCCTTCGTTACTTCACAGCACTGACAGCATGAGAGACTGACAGTCAACTATTGTGTGTGTGAATGCTGAAACAGGATAGCCACTTTGCTGACTGGCTCATATGAAATAAGATAAAAATGATCCTTTATATCATTTCCATTTGGAGGATCGGAGTCAACGGAAAAGGAAGGCCACTTTCAAGCCTCAAGGTCTAGGCCGCCAGACACCAGTCGACAGTCACCACCAAATTTATAATAGATTAATTCATTATTATACTTTGAGACCCTTAGGTCACTTGATCGGCATCACATTTTCAGTTTCAATATAGTAAAGGTTTTTATTTGTATGATGTGAAATATTTTCCTGAATCAGAATTTAATTATCCCTAGGTACCTGGTAGAGGTTTCGGATTTAATGCTCATTGTTGGTGTGCAGTCAGGATTTTTTGACAGGTCCAGATAAGGAATCCTGAGCAATTTTATAGTAAAGTGGCCTCCTTATAAGTTATAATCACCGCACATTTTATCAAAACTCAAAAGCATTTGCAGAATTCATTCAATGAAGAATTTTATCAATGTTGCACCCATTTCTTAGACGACCTAGGCTGCATCTTTTTTTAGTTCCTGTTGTATGACATATTTTCCATTTTGTTCCACTGCATAAAGAAAAAATCGTTTGAGATCACCAAACAGCTTTTCTTTTTCTGGCAGGTCTGCACAACAAAGCGGTCGCTGGCGAGGACGTCGGCCGTCCCTGTGGGTAAGGTCATCTGTTCAGCCTTTGTGGAGATCAGCAAGACGTCACCAAGATGAAGACTTCGCTGGAGCAGAAGCCGCTGACCCGCGTCCGATCGGGCAGGTCATGCTCGACGGCACGAGCCACAACTTGAACGACTCGGTGACATCAACCACATGGTAGAGCAGGTGAATGAGTTTGGCGACGTGTTGTGCGACTGCAAGAAGGGTTGTCTGCGTGTTCTGGCCGGCGGAGCGGCGACGCTGCGCAGTCTGTGCTGGTGGTGAGCAGCTGGCCGTGGTGACCGCGCGCGCCCACATGCGCCGACAATCTGTGCGGCTTCGACGGCCCCGGGACAGCCCGATGCCGCCCACTATGCGACGCCGACCGCGCACTGTCCGTACGGCCACATGGAGGTGTGCCCGCGCCTTTTGCCCGCACGCCGCTACCTCGCAGCTGGTCTGCAACCACGCCGTCGCCGCCTGTAGCCCAATAACAAAACGGCTGTCTGATAATGCCGCGTGTTCTTTGTGATGTTGCTACTGTGATGGTTGCTACTGCTGGTCTGAGACTCGATGTTTCCATTCGTT